TGGGAGCGCGCGCGCCCCGCCCCGCCCCGCCCCCGGCACGCCCCCGAGCTGGCCCGACGGGAGAGAGGGGTGGAAAGAGAAGTGGCAAATGCTCCCAAGCTCTCCTAGATCTGTTTCTTAATACCAGTCTCCATGCCTCTGGGCTTCTCGTTAATTACTAATTACCAAATCAAGGACCTAAAGTGTCAATGAGTGCAGCTGGCAGTCCTGGCACAGAGGTGAGAGGCGAGGCTGGCTGTCCCCAGGGCTTGTTATGGGTGACTGAGCCTCTTCAGGACTGCCAGACCGACAGCTTGGGGACAGAAGGAAGCCGTATTCACTCAGCCGCTCTGTCACTCATTCTGAATTCACCGCCAGTCATTTACTGAGCATACCTTGTGTTAGTCGTGAACGGTCAGACCCGCGCCCTGCTTGGGAGAGCCCGCCGCTGCACGAACAGCTCACTCACAAGCACCCGTGACAGGGTGTCTTGGGATCTGAGGAGGTTACTTTATTCTTCCTGGCAGGCGGGCCAGGGCAGGCTTCCCAGAGGAAGAGGCCTCCAGCTGTCTAGAAGGGTGGATAGGAAAGCAAGAGGCCCGCCAGGCGGGACTGATCAGGCACTGCCCTGGCACAGAATCTGGTCTCTATGCTCAGAGCAGGAGGGACGAATCCCTGGAGGAAGACATCTTGCTTGGAAAAGCAGAGGGTCAGTGAAAAAGGAAGACCCTCAACGAGATGGATTGACATAGTGGCTGTAACAATGGGCTCAAGTATAACAACGATTGTGAGCATGGGTGCAGGACTGAGCAGTGTTTCGTTCTGTTGTACATAGGTCCCTGTGAGTAGAAACCGACTCCAGGGCAGCTGACAACACCACCACTGAGAACATGCTGGTTGCTGAGGAAAGGGCTGAAGGGTGGAGGTGGAGATGGAGGGTGGAGGAAGATGGCTAGGTAATTGGCAAATGATGACAGGTACCTCAACGCGAAAAGATGCAGCTTCTGGGCCTGCATCTGCTTGGGGAATCCTAGGTGGAGGAGGTGGTGCATGCTGAGCCCGTGTCCCTTTTCCAAGACATCCCATCCCGACATTACCATCTTGGTAGTGTGGGTGAATGACGCTGTGGTTAGCAAAGGAAGGAGGTTGTCCAGGAAGTAAAGGGGCGAGGCAGGCAGGATTAGAGGTGACCACTGGGACAATGCCTGAGCCTCGCCTGTCATTCACAGGAAGAGGGCAGAGAGCAGTCCCCTGCTGAGGCTGGCTAGAACTTGGGAAAGGCCCCAGACATTCTTTGTGCCTCATTAACCCGTTGCTGCCTAGGTGATTCCAACTCATGGAGACCCCATGTGTTATGGAGTAGAACTGTCCCATAGGGTTTTCTTGGCTGTAATATTTGTGGTAGCAGATTGCCAGGCCTTTCTTCTGAGGTGCTGCTAGGTGAGTTTGAACCGCCAACGTTTTGCACCATCCAGGGACCTTTGTGCCTCACTGTCATAAGTGAGGGGCCCCAGGTGAATTCAGACACATCAACTTCTGTCTTCTGGACAATGGCAATGAGACCTTATATTTTATTAGTGTTTAAGGCAGATAGTAGGATTTCATCACAAGGACAGATTAACCAGTAAGCTAGGTACGCACAGGCTTAATGGTGCTTACTTACTAATCTGCAGTGCACATCTGATGTGGTGAAAACCAGGTGAAATTGTGCACTACAGATTAGTAAGCAAGCACCATTAAGCCGGTGCGTACCTTGCTTATCGGGTAATCTGCCCCTAGTCATGAGATGAAGGAAGTGAAGGGCTTTAATACAGCTTCGTCATCAGGAAGGGTCAGTCAGTGGCCGCTAGCAGTTTCATAGGGGCCCCTTTACAGAACCTGTCTCCATGGACCCTGATAACGAGGAAGCCATCTGCAGCCAACTCTTCCCTCTTGAACCTGTGACAGGTGCCGCCTGGTGCCATGAACACGTCCTCCCTCCTCTTCCATGTTAGTGGTAGAGGCTAGAGCTGCTGGTCCTTGCCACTAAAGCCTCCCAAACACCAGTCTATCCCTCATCGACTTAGAAGTTACAGAATTTTTCACTTCTCTAAGGAGCGATTAGCGTCCTAATTGTGAATTTACAGAGCCTTAGGAGGGAAAGGAGGATCAGACACCAAAACCCGAGTGGGAGGGGTCTGCGAAACCTGGTGGGCGGAGTCCAGGCTGGAGCTGGGGCCAGGCATGAGGAGGGAGGGTGGAGGAAGGCGAAACCCTCGCACGCACATACCCCTGAAGCAGCTGCACAGGCTCCCCCTCCGGGTTGTCACCGCAGCCACTTGGAGCAGCTTGGGATACTAAAACCTGCTTAGCCAGTGTGTACACAGCTAAACAGTGACCATTCTAGCAGCTTCCCCAGAGGCCTGCTGACCTAGAGAGCCGAGCCAGTGAAACAAAGAGCAGAACAGCAACGGAGCGCCCTCCCAGAAAGTTGTACAAATAAGGTCAGCACTCCTTCTGGGCATTCCCTCTGTCCTACCCGCTCCAAATCACCTACTCAAGATGCAGCCTGTAGGAGCTCAGCACAGCTACCGGCAATCCCAGAAGGGCCCGTGACAGACACCTGAGGCCTAAAAACATACCTATGTCCCAAACAACTTCCAGTCTCTGAAGTCGGCGCTGGCCAGCACAGTACTCTGGCCAGTACAGTACTTTTACAAAGCGCCTCGGTCAGGGTAGGGAACCCCTGTATGAAAGGACGCCTTCTCTCAACTGGGAGGCCGGGCAAATCCCTGCAGGGATGGTCTCCTAGGAGCTGGGACTAGTCTTTGGACAATGTGCTGGAGACAAAGCTTCAAGAGGGGTAAACCCTCCCTCTTCCTTAGGAATTTTAAATGTTTACAGAATGGGCAACTGAAAGCTGCTTAGGGGGCCACATCTGGGTCTATCAGCAACCCAGTGCCCCCCTGCCCTTCCACCCTCCCCTGGGGGAAGCAAAACCCCTGCCTTTCAACAAACTCATGGCAAGATGCAAAAACTGCCTTGCACACTTTGAATTCTCTTACAGAAATATTCAGAGACTGGTGCTTCCCAGTCACAGCCACCTTTAATAGTAGGTATTTGGTTTGAACCCACTGGCTGCTCCGTGGGAGAAAGATGTGGCAGTCAGCTTCCGTGAAGATTACAGCCTTGGAAACCTTATGGGGCAGTTCTACTCTGTCCTTTAGGGCTGCCATGAGTCAGAAACGACTGACGGCAACGGGTTTTTTTTTTTTTTGACTCAACCAGACCGCAAGAACCGTTGCAGTATGGCGCCACCTTGTGGTCTCTCCCTGCACGACATCACACCCACCAAGCCTCACTCAAACTTGCTATCAAGTGCCAGGAACCCTTCTAAACCGATACTTAATCAGCTCACTTAACCGTTACAATAAATCAGTGAAGTAGGTATTAACATGGTCATTTTCACTGAGGAAACCGAGGTAGAATTTCTCAATTTAGCAAGTGGCAGACTGGCTGGACCCTTAATTGCTATCCTCCTGTTGGGATTTGGCCCTAGCCATCCCTCACTCACCACCCCCAGCAAATCCTTCCATGGCCTAGAGGCTCAGGGTGAAACCGGAGGCTCCATTTCTATCACTGAGCTCTGGCAGGAAGCCTGGCCTGCTCTGACCCAGGATCCAACCCTTTAGTGTTAATTGCATTTTGCGCAGGTCTCTTTCCTGTGTTAAGGTGGTCCCTCTTCCTAGGAATGCCTGTCCCTCTTTTCCCTAGGCCAACATCTGGGGATGTTACAAAGTGTCCCAACTAGACAATGAATAAGACTGAATTATCGTTATCTTTGAATTATGGTGTTGGCAGAGAATATTGAATACACCACGGACCACCAGAAGAACAAACACATCTTAGTTCAGCCAGAATGCTCCTTTAGAAGGGAGAGTTGTTAAGACTTCATCTCACAAGTTATCAGGAGGGACCAGTCCCTGAAGAATGACATCATGCTTGGTAGAGGATCAGCGAAAAAGAGGAAGACCCTCAACGAGATGGACTGACACTGGCTGCGGAACAACTCAAAGCAATGACGGCGAGGATGACACAGGACGAGTGTTTCCTTGGGCCGCTGAGTCAGAACCAACTCACCCCATCTGTTGGCTTCTGTTATCTTAAATGTTCCTTCCCAGAAGGCCTTATCTAAATTGTCCTTCTACCTTATCTTCCTAGCAGTGTTATGTAACAGTTCCTATGAAACACTTTACCTTTACCCAGTGCCTGAGAGCATGCAAGTGTCATCATCTTCTTTATGGGGCAGAAAACCAACCTGAAAAAAAAGGGTGGGATCTGGGAAGACTCCAGAAGGAAAGATAAGCAATCTGAATACCAAGGCTACATTCCAGGGATGGGATGGCTTAGCTCCTAGTAGCTATTTGCCAGGAATGCTAATCAACTCCTCCCTTTAACTATCTTCCGCATAAGGCAGCTCCATTCTACCTTGAGGTCCCAGGAGCCAGGCAGATCTACACCCAGATAGCTGGCTCTCCAGCTGCCCACTCCCACTCTGGCCTCCCTACACCTGTATTTTCAAACTTCGGCTGAAAAAAAAAAAAAAAGAAAGAAAGAATGGCTTTATATGGCCACCGAGATTACAGCCCAATACTAGGGACACAGGGAGGTAGCACCAGGACCCACACCATGTTCCCGCCAGAAGCCAACACTGAGTAGAACTTCCCATCCCATCCTCAAAGACAAGACACTGAAGATTTTTTAAAAATTTTATTACATTTCAAATCAGCATGTCTGGTTCATTTCAGCTCCTTCACTGCCAAGCCTAGAGGGAAAGAGACAAAGGCGAGTCATTCAGAAGATACATTTGTACCGCTGCCTGATGTTGTACTTCAGCTGAACAGAGCTCACAAAACTCAGAAATTAAGCCCACCCAGGGAGCTTTTACTTAAAATATTAAGCTACTTGTCCAATAACAAAAACGTTCCCTCTCAGACTTTATAAAAAGGCTCCCAATTAATTTGGACAAAGCCCAAGCTGCACTGGTTGACTGTCACTCTGAAGTGGCCTTCAGAACCTCCCGAGCCCCTTGCCCCCCACGTGGTGCCGGCTCTCCCACAGCTCTCGACAGCACCCCAGTCTCCGCTCTGTATACCACCAGGACGCCCCTCTGTTAACCTATGCTCACATCCCATTATATTCAATCACAATGCCCTTACTTCTGCACACAGCAATTACCAGTGCCCACCTCAGGGGCGGGGAGCAAGAACAAGACAAAGAGAAACCTTCCCCTGGCCAAGGCAACTATTCTGGTGCTGGATGTCATCTCTGAGAACCCCAATTATTCCCTGCACTACAAACAGCAAGAGCAGACACGTAGAAAAACCACAAAATGGGCTTTCCAAAATCTGGGGATGATTCTGAACAGAAGGTGAAACATCAACCCTCCACATTTTTGGT